TGTTGCGATACTAAACTTTCATAAGGACCTATTACCTCACTAGACTATTAATACCGTATTTTTTACCCCCTGAACTATTTAATAGTGTATTTTAAAGGTTAATATGTGCCTACGTGGACACATTACTATTTATAATTTTGCATTATTTTTTATGTCCACGTGGGCAAATATATATGTTTAAAATACAGTATTAAATAGTCTAGGGAGGTAATAGGTCATCATGAAAGTTTAGTATCGCAACAGCTAATGCGACCAAAGTTGGGTATTTTTCAGACCATTATCCCTAAAAATAATAATGGATTCCCAACTCCATAGAACGAACTTTTATTTATTGGTATCTTTTTAGCGTACGTTTTAACCTGAATTTGCTCCTCAATTCCTACTTCAGTTTGCTTTAAGATTAAAATTTTACTCAAAAATACTTTCTTCATTCACTTTTGACATAACTATTTTATTACAATACCCTTATTAATTAATATTTAGTATTAAATGTTGGGAAATAAGTAACCAATATTATGGGTAACATGAAATTTGTTTGTTCACAATAACAAGAAAAAATGAAAATCTATTTTTAAAATAATGGAAAAGTAAAAATGAATTAACCTGTAAGTGATGTTTTTTTTTGGGCAGTTTGAGTTTTAACAAAACAGAGCAACTAAAGTTATTGACAAATGACAACCACTAGTAATTACTTACCAAATAGAAAAATGAGTCTTTCATATATCATATACCGAATACAAAAGCATATACTCCTATAAACCTCCCAAACAAAATCCCAGAGACTGCCTTACTTTTTCCTCCAATAAAAAAAAATAATCCGAAAATTGCATCTCTGCTAAAAATAAGAAGGCCATACTTAAACATAACGAGTAGTAATCTAATGATACCAAAAAATGATAATAACATGTGATGATTGATGAAGATGGATGGTCTAATTTTGTTAGTTGATAATAGTATTAGGTAGCTAGCTATTCCAAGAAACCTGTCTTAGTTAAAATGGCATTCCTTAATTTGCTAAGGTCCCTTCCCTTAAGAGTCCTTCCAACTCCTTCCACCATTGAAAATGAAGCTATTTGATTTCTTGCTACTCTTCTTGCTATATATTCATGTGGTGGCACTATTCCATCACCATAATCATCTTCTTCTTCTTCTTCTTCTTCTTCGACATTTCCAGAATAAGCAACTGATGAGAAAGAAGAACCATCCTCTGTTCTAACTCTTCTTGATTTCTGTTTATTGCTATTCTTGGACCATTCTGGAATCTCAACAGGACTTGATGATTTATGTAACATACACTTGTTACTTTTTCCTCTTGGGATATTCACTCTTGATGAATCTCTTTCATTCACATAACCCCATACATCTTCTTCTTCAAAGTCTCCATCTTTCTCTGTTTTTCCTTTGTTTCTGTTGCTATTAAACTCTTCCATTCTTTGGTTCTAATTAGATCTCTCAACAATGAAAAAGTTTGGGACTTTTTTTATTTCTGGTGAAGTACTAAAAAGCTTGACATCTAGAAAGGGGAAGCCTAACAACTATATATAGCTAAGAGAAAGGGATGTTTGTTTTTTGTTTCATGATTTATTTTGGTATTTTCAGGAATCATTAAGAAGAAGAAAAAAAACAGAATGGTATAAGGAATCTTCCTTAGCTCCAAAAAAAAGGTAGAATTTTTTCTTTGAATAGTAAAAAACAAAGGAAAAAAATGTGAAAATATTCTTTTGAGTTATGGTTTTTGTAAAAAGAAAGAAAGAAGATCACATATTTCAAGGGGCTACCTAGTTTTAAAACCAAGTCCCCTGCAGCAACAGTATCAGAAGGAAAAAGACAAACACCACAGAGATTTTTGTATAGATATATATATATGAGTTTTGTAACTTTCATCACCCTCAAAACTGGAAACTGAAGCCAAAAAGTTGGTACTAAAATGATTTTCATGACATGTTTGAAACTGAAAGCCAAAAACTAGGAATATTTATTTAAGCAAATGAAAGTCCAAAAAGCTCATAGAATTTTTCTTAAAGAAATACTATATGAAAAAATTTACTCTATGATATAGAAGTACTCTGATTTGTCTGTTTTATGAAAATGTTACTCCCTCCGTCCCATTTTATGTAGGTAGTTTGATTCGATACGAAATTTAAAAAAGAAAAAAAGATTTTTAAAACTTGTGGTCTAAAATAAATGATAGGATTTATGTAGCTATACATCATTTCATTAAAGATAAAATTAACATTTCAAAATTAAATTATTACTTAATATAAAAATATATCATTCTTTTTTACACGAACCAAAAAAAAAAAAGTAAGTTAATGGGAAGGAGAGGGAAGTAATATGTATGTGGATGGATAAAAGGGTACATAAGCATCCATCAATACTGATGAGTTCTTGAAAAACAGATAAATTTTGATTGGGTAAAGTGTAGAGTAACGATTGGTTGAGCTAACTTTTCACTGATTTCTGTAGTCTTATCCAATACGGGGAGCAGGAGCCAACTAAGCTTTGCATTAAACCACATCATAAGGGAGTGAAAACAACTTTATTAGGGGACTAGAAAATTCAGTAAAACCATTTAGTATGAGTTGCCTCATAGCTCATTAAGATTTATGTGCCATAGTTTTAATTCACATAATACACAAACTTTTGGGCTCAATAATGACAAGGATAAAAACATATCATATGTATCATGAGCTTCCATCGTAGCATGGTAATCTAAAAGTAAAACATATAATCTGCAATATTACTAAAATATGTACTACTTAGTAACAGATGTTTATCATGTATACTCTTTCTTAAACTTTGTATCAAGCCAAATGAAAATAATTTTTAAAACTAGTTTGAACTTTTGTAACATATGATCCCCTAGTCATTAGCAATTCCAACTCATTACCATCCCTATCCTATCTCAAAGTTCAATGCTTTGTGGTTTTGGGGATTGTTGCTGAATTGACTGTGCTAAACAGCTAAAGTAAAAAAGCAAAGTGAGTGTCCTGAGATCTGGGATTATTACTGAAACAGCCACAGTGTACCACCAACCAACCAAGCCCTATCACACTTATTATGGGATGAGACATTGGCGCAAAGGCCAATAATTTTACCTAGGTTGTAATTTTTTAGATGTAAACACACTTAACTAATTCTTTAGTCACTTTTATTTTCACACTAAGCTTTCTTTTCATGAAAGAGATTCAACAATTTATGTGTAAAAAAAATTACTTTCATTCTATTTACGTAGTATAATTTTTTGACAAAATAAATTCGATTGAGATGCAGTTTTCATCCTTGGTAGAGTAGAGGTAGATCTGCAGTGTAACCTATGAGTTCACATGAGCAAAGTCAAAAATCAGAAATTTGTGTTTATGGAGTTTGGATTCTAGAAAACTAGCTAATTGGATTTTGAATATAAATTATTTATACATGCTCAATAAATTTCTCAATACAAATATAAGATTTTGGCCAAAACTATTAGATTTAGTTACTCCATAGCAAAAATTCTAGCTTCACCTTTACACGCAAATTCAATAGCTTTTATTCAATCCTGGTATATACGTGTTGTTATGGATAGAGACATTACATTGGCCTATTATCACCAAAAAAAAAAAAAAAAAAAAGGGGGTCAACGTTTACCTTTTTTTTTGA